CAAGTCCCTCGGGAGTTCGCGTGATCTTCCCCTTAAACCGGGCCTACTTGAAGCCACTCTTTGAACCACAAGCAAGCCTACTTAGGGTGAAATATCAAGCGTTTCGTAGGGCCAGGTCTGCAGGTTTGCGATTTAATTTTTTATCATAGTAAACGCGCTCCAACGCTATGTTAAACATTAAAAAACTGAATTTCAAGGCTATCTTTCATATTTATGCCTGAAGCTATGTATGAATTAAAGATATTCCAGACTTCTGTCAAGTAAAGAAATAAATAATGTCATGCGGTTTTTTTGCTAGAGCAGTTTCCTGTAATTTGTCACTGAAATGGAAAGGCTTGAAGGAGGGAAGATATTGTAACAAGAAATAGAGCTATCATTTCGTTTCTTGAAAAATGACGAAAGTTCCTGTTACAGGTTTTGTGAGAAAGAGAATTTAAATGGAGAGACAGAGAGAACGAGTGACACTAAAATGCTCCCGTTTAACCAAAGTATAGACCACTTTCATAAATGGCTACCGTATAAATATTCTTTTGTTTAAATTTAAATTAGCCCTACTAGCATCGCTTGAGATAATGTATTCTTTTGAATTTTGTACTGGAGAACGAGGCCAGAGGGCTAATTTAAATTTAAACAAAAGAATATTAATACGCAGCCATTTATGAAAGTGGTCAATGAGTGTCCCATTCAAATACTGAAAGGCCGACGGAATATGGTCCACTCAATGTGAAAAGCACCGGCAATGATTTCGCATAACTGAATGAGGCAAGGAAACTAGAGGGATAAATTGTTCCTATTTGTTGCGGGAGGCAAATGTGCCTTAAATCATTGACAAAAGAAAAGTACGTATGAAACACATAAGTCTCGTAAATCAAATAAAATGATGAGATTATACGCTTCACGAATTGTTCTTTTGACTGACGTCACTGTTTCGCGATCACGTTTTTGGATTTCCGACTGTCGTCTAACTCGGCACCGTCTCCTCTTTTACGCAAGTCAGTCTTTTGAACAACCGGCTAGCATGCTGACTACAAATGCTTAAAAATTTTATATGTAACGATATTTTCTGTAACAAAATGTTAGAGTCGGTTTGGTTGCCTTGCTATCCTTGTGAAGCTATG